AAAAAAGAATGAATGGAAAATGGCAATTAGTACTGCCACCTAAAACTACCGTTTCAAGGTTAAGATGGCATTAAAAACTGTTTACTATAATCAAAAATTATTGTTAATAAACTGTTTTACAAGTATAATTATTACAAGATAGCCAAATACACACACACAACACAACACGTTGGAAAAAAGCATAGAAATTCACATGACTACACCTGAATTCAATCAGATTGCAAGAAATTTGAAAGCAGTAAGGTCAGCAAACAAGCTGGCCAACTGATCACGAATATCCCCATGATCGTAGAAACAGGCATGAGCAATATGAACGTTTCGGTTTGGACCAGCGGTGCTACAACAAGAGACTGTATCTCAGTAATAAATTCGCATGGCTAAGGCCGCAATTCAAAGAGTGAATTACTGTACAAACAACTTTTTATGTTCATGCACTAGCATATGAGGATTATCACGTCCTAAACTATTGTTCACGATGAACGCAAGGTGGCTCTGGTGCACAAAATAATGCGAGATATGTCTTCTTGCCGTGGCCTCCTCAAATGGCTCCTTTAGGCGATCAGGAGCAAAGGGTAGTGCAATACATCGCGAAATTTTGTCCTGGAGGAGTTAATCATTATGAATTAATTGCAATACGTGATGCTTGGAAAGAAGAATATTGGGAATCTCAAATTGCGACCACATCTAAAACACAGCGATCAGATAGCAGATGGGAATGAAAGGTGTCGAAATAAGAAAGAAGCTACAGTAGACTGGGTAAGTAACTCGGCTTACCGACGGAAGATAATCGACTTGTAATCTCACAGCGGTATGACTAGACCCGTTTAACCCCATTCGCGACAGTAAGATTACATTAGAATCCAGAAAAGCCGCGCTTGGAGGGAAAGGACTCTAAACAGAGAGGAATGTTGCGGCCGATGCGATTCATTGCCGATTACCAACCGGTCCAAGTGATCTAAGTGATCAGTATATATAGTAAATTGAACATCAAAAACTCTTGCATATAATAAACTGATTGAACACTATGTTAATTTAGCTTATCCTATTCTGAAATTTGCTAAAGAGCCTAATCTTAGATTTAAGATATGCAGGATGATGTGTTGATCTGAACCTACTTCAGCAGCA